AAATCTGTACCTTTCTACAATTTCTAAATCTCTCCCTACCTATTAAGATCTCCACCCCTCTCCCTCTCCCTCTCCCTCTCTTCAAATCACCAAAAGCCGCAGTATCCGCTGAATCAAAGAAAGTCAATCGGTAGCAACCATACAAATCTGAGACCAATACCCAAACCGAAAAAGCTTTTCCAACTCAAATTTTTTTTAAAAAAAATAGACACGTAATTCGAAGCATTATTGGGATCGCTCTTCTTCCGCTCTCGGAGAAAGCAAAAGAGGGGAAAGATAAACTGATGATATATCAAAAGCTGACAAGAACAGTATTGAGGTTAACCTAAAGATCTAGTATACAAACAGTAACAGAAATGGAAGATAAAAGAGAACTAGGGTTTTGAAAAATTACAGAGAAACGAGAAAAGAAGATTGAAGAAGAAATTTTTCGTTTATATATGAAGGTAAAACGGAGAAAGAGAAATGACGCAATGGATTTTCAACGCTGTCTTCTTCAGCTTCTTCTCCTCTTCGTTTTCCCTCTTTCAAAATCTTGTGCGACGTTACGTAATTTTAGCTAACTAATTTTTCTTTATTACCACTTTTTTTTTTAATTTATTTAATTATTTTATCCCTTTTTTCACTTTTTAAATCTATTTTTTTTCTTTTAGCCTTTTTTTTTAATTCAAAATATTTTTCAAGACGAATTCGAATGATTTGTTTTTTTTTTTTAATTAAACTAATATAAACAAACATTATTTGACAATAATATAAAGTATATAAAATTATAAGCATTGGGATTTTTATATAATTTTGTGCTTTTGGATTTACGTTATGATGATACTATGTAAGATGGTAATAAGGTGGATCTCAGTTTAATTTGTATACAAGATTTTACTCAAAATAATTAAGATTTAGTAAAAAAAAAAAAAAAAAAAAATTCGTGTTTAATATAAATAGTTATGGAAATTTGTTATCAATAAAAAAAAAAAAGTATAAATTATATATATGGTAATAAATGATTTTTTATATTTAAGGTATAAATTTATTAAAAATTAAATTATTTTCTAAAAATTACAAATTATTAATTTTATGTTTAAACCTATCAAAAACACTCTTAATTTTGGATTTTCCCAAACGCACTTTTCATTTTTTTTTTTTCTTATTGATTGCATTTAAGTATTTTTAAAACGTAAAAATCAACATTAAATTTAATAAAGAACACCTTACTAAATATCGAATTTACTTTACTACAATGTAATTTTTATTTTTTTTACGATCTCACTTTGTAAATACTAATCTTTGTTTCGATTCGATCATTTGATATCTGATTTTTGTTGTTTAATTTTCAGCATATTTTCTTTTAAAAAATTAAAGAAAGAGATGTTTGCATTATTAATAGCCTTAACAAAATGTCTCTGTTATCTTCTTTATATACTTACAGGGCAGTCAATAGTCAATATTTTACTAATGTTGAATTCAGAAGTTAAAATATTTTTATTTGGAGTAGTATGAAAAATTTATTAAAAAATTATTTATAAACTTTGAGGATTCAGAAGAGGGAATTGACCAAAACTGACTCATGAGAATACCAAGTACTTACTACATATTAGGCTAACTACCCGTGTTGTTAATTATTTTGTTTAATCAAGCGACAAATCTTACCTACGAAAACAGCACCAGTAACCAAATGTAGAACATTGTCCACTTTTGTTGCACTCTAACTTTGTTTCCATGACTATCAGCATCACCAGTATCGGGATTGGGTGTAACAAAACCGCAAAGATCAACAAATTATAACGACATGAAAGCATGTACTGCCTTAGAATTTAGAATTTAGAGCCTGCAACAACTCGTCTCCATACAGTACATCAAAATAAAACAAGATATACCTGATAAGAGAACCCGCAACTAAACTTACATCTGCTTAACGAAATATGAGCTTCATAGATTACTTGGCTGTAACTGGCTGCCTCAATTAAACAGATACATTATTGCATATCCATACATTTTACAAGTCAACAAACATGAAACCTAAAAAACATCGGCAATAAGAACTTACAAATATTAGCTACTCGTCAAAAGATGCTCAGAGCTTCAGTCTTTTGGGATATGATCGTGAACTCTTGACCAAAATTCAGAAGAAAATTTAGTGACCTTATCTGCCTACAGCAGCCACGCCGACAATGTTGATATTTTACACATAAAACACAATTACATAAAGTGTAATTTACAAGTAGGCACCATGATTTTTCTCCGCAATTACGTAGGCTATCATCAATGAATGAAGATACCAAAATATCCATCTTCAGTCAGATTCCCTGCTCCATGGAACACTAGATTTCTTCCTCACAAGTAATGAGAGAACATCCTTGCCCAAAAGTTGTTCAAAAACTTCAAAACAGCAAAAAATGATATCCTCATCTACTGGAAAATTGGAGAAACTGAATCGACTATTTCAACGGATATGATTTACAACTCATATAGAATATGGGGCTGTGGTTATATTTACACACGTGAATCAACAGATAAAAAATACCAGATGCCATCACCGATTGGATGTTGTGCAGTTGTTATTTGCTGAGTCAACCTTAATTACCCTGGTGTTGTACGATCCACAAAACCCACACTTGTGGTACAACCAATGAAAGCGTGCAGTCCCTTTCTTATCACAGTCATTACACAATATATCCTGGATCAGCAAGATAATTATGTTTTGTTATTCCAATAGGAAGTAAGAGGACCAATGAGAAAAGTTGCTTCAAGGTTTACCTGACAGCGGTCCCTATATTCTTCTGGAAGATCTTCAGAAGCCAAAAGTGCATCAAGCATGCCAAAGTAGACCTGAGCCAAAAGATAATAGACTTGTAATGGAAGCATTTAAAAGCTGTCATATAATGAAGTTGGTGCAATTTCTTACTTTTTACCAAAAGGAGTAAAGTAGGATGGTAGGAGAGGGAAGAAGCTTTAAGAATTATCAAAAAGAACATAGATGAAGCATATTCAACGCATGGAATGGCATCTAAATAAACATCCCAACCAAATATATAACCCAATTATCTTTTTTGTTCAGTATCCCATAGTTACATATATATTGCCCTTTTTTTCTGTTTTCCCCTTATCAGAAAGCAAATATGGGAATTAGCAGGAATTCAGAAAGTCTAGAACATCTAAATATTAACAGAAAATTAAATTTCCAGAAGTTGAAACCTCTAAATATATAAATATAACATGCTGTATATATGCAACACCATGCTGCCCTATTGATGCATGTCAAACAAGCATTTAGAAATTCACTTGCACAGAGGGCAGGACCACGAAAGGAACGAGAATACAGACACCTGGTTCACTGATAACATGCATTTTTCTTTTTTGAAATAATGAATAATGCGCATTTTATTTTAAGACAAGTTATATAAAATAATTACAGATAATATTCCCTAGGAGAGTATGGACCTAGTTTGTACATGGAACAACAACAAATAATCAAATTTCCTTGACAAGACCCTAGAAGAGCATTATTTGCTGAAAATTGACATTACAGTTAGTTTAGCACGTAGGATTTTTTTCTTACCGCCATATCTCCTAAAGATTTGCTACAGATGGGGCAGATGTAGTGACTGCATGTGTATGCCTGTAACAACAAAATGCAAGCAGAAGTTAAGTTACCATCAAGCATTACGAACATTGTTCCAGTAGCATCAAGACGAAAACTAAAAGAATAGCAAAACCACAAATAGAAGAAGAGAAAATTCAATACTTAATGGACCTGAAAGCAAGCTGAGTGCATGAAATGGCCACATGGAAGTGCTCTTACAGATGCACTTGATGTGAATAAAAAATCACAGCAGATGGGGCAGTTTGTTTCTAGACCCTTTTCTCGGCATTTGTGGTCCACCAGCTTCATTGCTAGACAACAATTGCATTTCATGCAATGGAAGAAGTCAACACCAAGCCCCTTTCCCAGGCGGCATAAATTGCAGAAAGGGCAATGATAAACAATCCTGAAATGTATTTGACAAAACAAAAAGGAAATGTTGCATAAGAAATCTACTAGTCATTTTTCACAATTTTTTTTCCAGATGAGAAAAAACTACTGAATGGCACAAGAGAGTGCAATCCACATACAAAAAATTACAAGAGATCAGAGGCCAGGAAGTCTACAAGGGTCACAACATCTATGTCATCAAGCATAGATGCCTTGTAAACAAAATAAATTACAGACCAGTAAAATCTAGTACTATCAAAACAGAGCAAATGTCCTTAAAGACTCTCATATTCCTTTCTTTCCTACTAATCCAAAAAATTAGATGAATGAAGTCGAGGAACCTTTTCTTATACTTATAAGTGCAAACATATGACAAGTCCAAATTTATCTGACAATAGAAACTGAAACGACCTGAAATTGAGGAGACCTAGATCCTGAACAGCATAGAAGAAGGTAAGTGAAGGATTCCAACTCGCAAAAGCATAAGGGGCAGTCATCGACTGATCTTGCCTCTTCTCAAGTTATCCAATGCCAATTTTTTTTTGCTGCCGCTTCTCAGACAAAAAAAGGATATCCTGGGAGACATCTTTTAAAGATTTGCTACCAAGGGAAATGGCCTCAGCATTGCGGTTACGTACATTACTCTAAAAAGTTAATTGAAAACTTCTCACTCTTGTTGAGAGGGTACTAAGGAATATCATCCATTGCCAGGTCAAATTGGTACTTAGAGAAAAGAGTCATCAAGTCCACAAACTACTTGAACTTCCTACCTATAAAATTTTTAGAGAATTGAATATTCCAAGTCATCTGGTTACCTGGGTCATAAATCAGAAGACCCATGCTCCGCCGCATCTTTATGCATAGCCGACGAATAAGCACAAGGGAAGTAACTTTTCAATGATCTATAGCTGCACCATAAATCATCCCAAAAACCGTAGACCAGTTATTACTGACTTTAATTGACACCTGTTTAGTAAGCAGTCTCTATTCATGGCAATCCACCTCCACAAACGGATACCATATGGATGTCTATCATCACTTATTCTGCAAGCCCTACCTAGAGTACCAAACTTAACCCAAATGACCTCCCAACAAAGCTACATCTTGTGATTCGCAAATCTCAACAACGATTTTGCAGAAATGCTGTGTTCATCTCTTTCAAGGATGATTTTTGTTGTAGCAAGAAGTAACTTCTACTCCTTGGTCTTGTCATTGGTCAAGCAAAAAAAATTCTAGCATGGAAAATTAGTAGGTCCTATATATTCAGAGAATGTTTGAGGACTCGTTGTCCAAACCCAAAAAAAAAAAAACTGTGATAAATCTGGAGTTTGTCTCATTAGAGTGGAGTTGCGCAGAAGTACTGCACCCTTAGATTTTTTTGGTGAAGCAAGGACTAATTCCCTTGCTCAAAAATATAACCACGATAATATTTTTGTTGGTACAGGGAGAAAAAGAAAGTTGTGATCATCTTTTGGTGATAAGTTTGCAACAAGTTGCCGAAGTGGGGAGTTCTTCAGCTGAAAGTTGGTTTTTGTTTGAAGTTGATGACAAATTTTCCATTAAAGTTGTACAGCTATCTGTTTCACAGAACTGAATTCACATAAAGCCTCCTAAATAAGTATGAGCAATCCAATTTTGCGACAAGGCACAGAAAATATTTACAAATTTTGGACTAAAGATTAACGGGAAAGAAATATTATCCCACATATCTGGAAATCATGTATCTGAAAAGCCTATACAAATATTTCTCAACGATAAAACACAAGGGAAAAAAGAGTTACACGCATGAGTTATGTACCTTTCATCATCAAAAAATTTGCAGATGCTGCAATAATATTTAGCCATTGAGAGGCCGTTGCAGGAAGGTGTCGTGCAAACTGGTCCAACAGGCTGAATTTTCAGGCATTGCATGCACATCATCTCAGCTGTGGCCTTCCTGCAGTTAAATTAAAATCAGTGTGTATAAAGAAGCCAACCAAGTACCTAGTGACCGATCAACAGAAAGATTACCTATCCATGGAGTGGTCACTGACTTTGTCATGGCAAAACCTGCATGTGTATAATTTGCCACAGCAAGCAGCTCGGAGTTTGCAATTTCTTTTATAGTGCTCACATCCAAACACCTGCTTTTCTGGATCCCGGAATGATGGAGAACAACCAA